GCCAAACGCCCGCCCCCCCCCCCCCCCAAAAAGGTTAACTTCTGCCTGTTCAATTTTGGGCCTGGGTCCTTGAGACTTCTCCGTTGCCCCGGTCATGGTTGGTACACTTGTTTGCCTAATTTCATGTCAAGATGACTCTGGTGTCAGGGACAATTTTTTTTTTAAACTCTTCCTAAGGGGGGCACCCTTGAGTAAAATTTGTCTTGTACGAGGTTGTTTCCAAAGAGTTTCCTGGCTCTGACTGGCATTGTGTAAAAACACGAGTGTAGCTTTCACCAGCACAATGCTGCGGCGGCACCGGGCCAGGAGTCAGGGAGGCTCTGTCGCTTCCTGAGATGTTTGGGCAAGGAGCAGCCGCTCAGCTAATACTGTATGTAGTTCATGTCAACAAATACAAAACGTGTAGGTAGAAAGCCCGGCTCAGGAAAATAAACTTGGATGAAATAGGTGGCAAAAGAGAATGTGGCGGTAGATCCGGGAGAATCCCACTGCAATCAGTTACGGCGTCTCCGTCTTTGTTTTTTTTGGTGTCACGCACCCACCCTCGATGAGCTAAACAAGATGGAAGTCAGCACTCTTCCTCATCAAAGTGCCTTCAATGTACATTTTTGCTGCCGTGTAATACAGTGAAGCTGTTGAGCAAACACTTACCGACAAAATCAAGATCTGAAAGCCTGGGATTAGGAATGGAATTACGTAAGCAACACCAGCGCTATGACATTCATCTTGTCTACTTATTGATTAAGTTGAAGGTTTCTTTCCCCGAGAAAAACCGCACGAGAAAAACCTCACAAGACTGAAGATGAGAGCGAACGCTATTACTTTGAATAATCGACGTGAGGACATCCTCAGATACATACGGACACATCGCCGGTCCATTGTGACAAGCTGAGAACGCGGGTATCCAGATTCTGGGGTTTTCCCCCCCACCTTGTGTTTCTTTCATCCCCAATAACCAAGGTCAGTTACTGATGTGCACACAAACGATACATCCAAAGGTAACATGTTTGGAATGTGTGTGTATGTGTTGTGGGTGCTTTAGCAACCTGATCTAGAGCAGACTTTTGGACTTAACACATTCTACCTCAGAACACGGTGTTGGATCAGCGAGGGGTACCCCCCCACCCCCCTCTCCAAACAGGCAGGGTGGGGTCTAGACCATAAAGTCTCGGTGGGTAAGTACACATCGGAGAAAGTGAGAGGAATGTTCTCAACATTGCTCCCAAAGATCAAAGGCAGGCATCATTTCAACATACCTCCTCGTGTGCGAGTTTGGACCAGGAGAGCCCGAGTCCGCTCATACGCTGAGCTTACAAAACGACGGGGAACGGGTTTAGCTTGGACCTGCTTTCAAGGGCTTGCGAAAGCCCCTTAAGAAAGGTCGTATTGTGCATTTTAAGGAGCGTGTGAAGTTATGTCGACACCGAACCGGTACAATCCACCGACTAAGCGTTTGTGGAGATACATTTCTTAGTTGCCCCCTTTCATCGTGCATTCGCAGCAAATATCAGATGTGTAATACAGACTCTGAATTCTCCAGACTATCCTTCTGTTCTTACCAGACCGTAAATAATCTCCAGGGTCGACCAACTCCATTTGGACTCCCCGCAGTGCCGCTCTTGTCGTCTCGACGTCCGAGCGTATGTGGCGGCGGAGGGCGACCACTTAAAAGTGTTTCCAACATTCTTATTTTGTCGTCTACTTTGGATGATTTCGTTCAGTACATTTGTGGTAAATCGAACCGATTTTTTTTTTTTGTCCCTAGCCCTTAACTTCTTCAACAACTTCCAAAGCCATAGTGACGCTTTTAGAATTCCGTGACCCAAAACACGACTTTTCAGGACATCACTTGGTTGGGATGGGGTCGGGATACACAACGAGTTTCCCCCGAGAGCAAACGTAATTCTTTGTAGTGGAAATGTGATTTTTGTGACATCACTCTTGCTCAATAAAAGCTCTCAAGACCACCAAGGGTTAGCTACCCTCTGCCTGACGGCTCAACTGAAGCTTCAAAACAAAAAGCAGCCCCCCCTCGCCCCCCACCCAGTTTTGTCTTTATCCAACCCATTCTCCTCCCTCTAATGCTGAGAATCAGTACGGGCCTTGTTGAAGTTGACCCTCTTCAAAAATCACTCCACGGGGGCAGACTCAGGCATTTCCATTTGAACCCACACCTATTAATTGAGTACTTTGACTGTTGGCCAATCTATTCTTAGATAACTAATTTGAATAACTGACAATTTTAGGCAGTAAAAGTGATGTCATCGTAGCCAAAAACGAGCTTTCGGGGACAGACTCAACATGAGCGTGGCCAGGAAGGCGCTGGCGTTGTGCGCAAAACAAAGAGTTTGCCTTGTGAGACAACAATAACACAGGAAAAGCGGAATATAGAGTTCCTTCTGGCGCATTTTACGTGACTGGAGAGGCTCAGTCAGGATGGATAACGTCATTAGCGTGAGCATGAGAAAACAAGGTGGCTCTACCTCATGTCATTAAATACTACTTGGACAACAATGAGTTAGAGCTCGATAAGGAACCGGGTTAGGTAAATGCCAAAGATGTGGAACAGTCGCCCTTTTTTTTTTTTTTTATCCCCTGATGATTAAAAACAACAGTACAGTGTTCCCTCACTTATCGTGGTTAACTTCGGTCCCCGGGGACCCTGCCATAAAGCAAAACCATGAAGCAAAAAATATTTGAAGGCAAGTGGCACGTTTCATGCACGAGGTAACTCGTCGCGCTTCACGAACAAAAGACCTTTAAAAGGTAAAATAAATAAACAATGTCAGTGTCATTAACAAACAGAAAAGCTCAACAACTTTTCCCACAAGTACAACAGCTGCAGGGAGAAGAGAAAAAAAAAAGTTCTGTTGGCGTCCCACACTCTGCAAGTGGTTTCCCCTCACTGAGCCAGCATGTTAAATGTTGGCCATGTCTTGCATATGATTGTGTGTGTGTGTGTGTGTGTGTGTGTGTGTGTGTGTGTGTGTGTGTGTGCGTGTGTGAGAGAGAGAGATTTTTGGAGTTAAAGAGGCGGAAATATGCGAAAGTCCATGTGAACAATGCTCTCGTCTGTCACACTGGGGACTGGATTTGTAGGTCAAATGAGCATGGCGGTGGAGGGGAAGGAGGACGTACTGAAGGATTTGCATGCTCGTGCGGGTGCCTGCGTGTGCTTTTCATTATTAAATGGCCAGAACAGAAGAAGAAGAAGCGCAGATGATCGTGGGCCTCGGAAAAACAAAAAAAAAAAAAAAAAAAAAAAAAAAAAAAGCATATGACTTCTGCAGTCAGACTTTAAAATGTCGTTTGTTCAACATCAGGTTGAACAGCTTTTTATCTGGGGAGAGGCGTTCGTTTTCCCAACACGATGACTAATTGCGATTAATGAGTACCCAATTGTTATGCCCACACCGCAGGCTATACACTACACAGACGTTTCATAGAAGTTGACTGACGATTTTTTGTTCTCTTGATAGCAAAAACAACACCAAAATACAGCAGCCGGATTAATTACTTGCTTGTCATTACTCCATTGAAATTCCACGCAAATCATCCGGGCGTCAACGTGGCCTACATCTCTGCGCTCTTCGCTATGTGTGTGTGTGTGTGTGTGTGTGTGTGTGTGTGTGTGTGTGTGTGTGTGGGTGTGTGT